CCGCTCAAGCGCTGTTTGATGAACATATGTTTCCCAAGTGTCCTGGACACGGAACAAAACGACAAAGGCAGCCTTCTGCGCCTGAAGAGGAAAAGAATGGAAAACCTGCGAACCAGGCACCCACTTCTTCTTTTCTCCCTGATGACGATGAGGAACCACATCGTCCGCTCCCAAAACCTTCTTCAAAGGACAAGGGCAAAGGTCGAGACGTCGCACCTAATGCACCGCCAGCAAATCCTCCTGTACCGCAGCCATTGCGCGGACAACAGCCTGTGCCTGTGCAACGCCCAGTGTCGCCGCCACCTCCACCGGTCAGATCTCGTGCGCCTTCACCGCGCCGATCTGGGAGAGAGCAGAAAGTACCAACTCGCGAGGGCAATGTCTATGGTGAATCACGGCACCCTACAGACATTTTTAAGGAGATTGTCACGGACGCTGGACAAACGCCCCTTTTTGCCGCCCATTCCCCTCCCCTTGACGCCCACCTTCCATTTTTGGACCATTTCCTTTCTTAGCCCATCCCAGTTTGGACACTGTAGATACGTTCCCACTGCCACATGCTCCGTTCCCGTGATCACCATGCTCCTGCCTTTTCTTTCTCGCCCTTTGTTCTTCCTTTGTCATCTTCACTGCCTCGCTCTCGCGCTTTGTCTTTGGTTGCTAAGCAGCCCCTCAAGTATATAAGGACCCCCTTAGGCGCTCCCTAGTCCCCATCTCGACCTCTTGGTCATTAGGACTAGGTGAGTGACCATAGCGTTGTATCTCCCTTCGATTGCTAATGTATAACTTGGTCATTGGGACTAGTCTGTCGCTGATTGCGTGAAGACTAGCTTTCGTCGGTCTCGTGCCTTCGTGCCGACCGCCGCTCTGCCCTGTCGAGTTTTCTGATACGTTTATCCCTCTTACCCTCTCTTCTCCCCTTTCGGCTCCTCGCCGCTCGCCTACGGGGTCGTCGCCGAACGTCGACCCAAGTCTATGCGCCTAGTCGCCGCGACAGAGATAGAAAAACAAACATTGTGGAGGAACTTGGTGGAACAGCGTGGAGAATCGAGTCGCTCTCGACCTGCGTCAGTTCCAAGTCCTCGGAATGAGTCACAGGTTCCCGGACATAGCTCTTCCAAATCTAATCCACGATCACAACCGTGTTCGCGCGATGAAGTTGTTTTACCTCCACCCTCGAA